CTGTAGTTCTGCTGGACTTAAAAATGACTGGCAAGTCACATCACACTTACAGCCTCTCCTGTGTGTGGAAATGGACCTTCTAGTCTTCTGCTTTACACTACATGTCACATTCACACTGAGAGGCTGCAAGGTGCCAACTGCTCTTTGTGACATTGCATTTCCCAGACAATCCACTGGATTTCAAATGTTTTTTAGCTTAAGAAGTAGGGAAAAAGAACACTGAGGGAAATCGTGACGGCCTTTTTTACTTTAAAAAAACATTTGTATACTAATAATAAATCAAAAAATAACAGACAGATTCATCTATAGTAAAAACATTTGTTGCTTCATTAAAATTCAGAAATCCCAACAAAAGTACCAACTCTTTATGCAAACCATGGAAAAGAAACCTGGGACTGGAGGAATTAAAAAACACAGGTCTGCTGTAGGCCTGGCTGTAGAAAGCCATGCACAGGCATCATTATTTGTAACCACGATCCATGAGCAACATTTATAAATGAACATCAGATTTGATGGAATATAATAAAAAACTACTGGCTGTGTTTGACCATTAAAGCAGCTTTTTTTGTGTGGGAGCTATAATGAAGAGACACACGATAAAGTTTGTCACAAAGTTATTAAAATAACTCAGAGAAAGCAACACAAAAATAAAATCGCGATCACAGATCAGTTTGGAAGGTATAAAAACATTTGCGACAAGAGCTGCAGATCAGCTGTAGGACTCACGTCTGTATCGCCTGAGCGCCGGAGGAACGTGATGTTTAACGAGCTTTATTACCTCCCTAATCAGCTGTTCCGCTTGTTTTGGAGCGGAGGAAACCGACTTCGGCTGTGTGTGAAAACCTCCTGACTGATGAAAACTTAAAACAACAACAACTCAGGACCCAGTATTTAGCATAGCGCCATCAGCTGTTCGCTGTAAACACACCGCTGCACACTGGCTGCTGTTTCCCAGCAACACATTTAATGCCGACGTACGATCTCAGGCAACGTCGGTGAGACTTGTGCGGCTCTGTGACTGTTGGTTGTGATTTATCGGTTTGCAAACAATGGTGGAAAAGAGAGGAGCAGCAGCAGACAAACAGCCGACATTCTTCAGTTAAAGCCAGTAGCCTCTGCTCGCCCATTCAGAAATTCACTTTAGGGCAAGCCCCGCCCCCCCAAATTCCCCATTACTTTCGGAAAGTACTACCCCCCGAGCAGGGACTTTTTAGGGGGTAAAATGAAGACCCCAGAACAACATTTAGATCCTGGTCCCTCCGGTGGAAAAACAGTGAGATCCTCCAAAGGTTCCTATATAGTCAAAACGCAGCCATCATCTTAAAGCCTTTTGTATTCTATTTTTGGTATATAGTTGTACAGTCTGTATGAATAAATATATTTGTACATTTGTTAATTGTATTTAAGCCACCTCCTGCTTCATTTTTGTAAGTTGTTTATGTTTGGCAAGTGTAGTTGTAGTTTATGTGAGCTGCTGCTACTGCAACAAGCTGTCCACCCTTTGGTCCTCACTCGTCTCAGATTACCCCTCATGATGCACCGTCATCCGGACAACGCTGATGCTGCCGTGACAGATATCAACATGTTGCCTTTGGCGCTACTTAAACTCATTTCATTGTCAAGCGCCATGCTGCATCTCAGCACCCCCACATATTCTTGTACCCTGAATTGGAGGCAGCCATAATTGCAGTGACCCACATCAAGCAACATTCTATGCCTTTGCTTATTTTAGGCTGCAGCTCCCCTCCTCCCTGCTCTTTGTGTGGCAGAGTGGCCTTATTTCCCCTCAGCCCATTGTTCTAGTCAGACGGCCAGACTTCCTGTAGACCTGCCTCGGGCTCCTTCATGGTTTACAGTGCTCTCTCTTTCTCTGTCTGTCTGTCTGGGATTCTACTTTCTACAAGATCATACACTATTTAACTCTTGCCGTCACAGATTCTGAGCTCTTCGCCCCCAGACTTCACAGACAGCCCCAGAATGCTTATTAGCTGGTTTAATCCCTCCCATAAATAACTACTTCATTGGATCAGACACTCACTCCATACCATTACACTGATCCTCAGCGGTATAAATAACCCTGGCTGGCATTCAGAGCCTGAAATAGTTCCTGCATTCTAACACCAGATGCATTTAGGGTCAGCAGCATTGTGGAGTTGAAAGGTGAGTGGAGTTGTAGATATGAGGTCATTGCTGCTACAGTGTGAGATAAATAAGTCTCCCCCTGCTCCAGCTCGGCCCACAGCACAGAGCCAGCTCTCTTAATCCCTGGTGCTCCTGCCCCAGCTGTAAACAAAACTGCACCAACAGACTGCAATAAAATGTGCAACATCTTGCTGCACACATTAAAGGAAGGAAGAAGTAGAGCCAACACCCAGGTACCTGTAGCCCTCCATCACCTTCACCTTTTATTTCCCGATGTAGACGGTGTTCAGATTAGTCCTGGTCCTCCCTAAATTCCACAACCATCTACTTTGTCTTGGCCACATTCGACTAACTCCCTGTTCTCAGTCTCCTCTCCACTGCTGGCACACCCCACAACAGCAGAGTCATCTGAGAGTTTCTGCAGCTGACAGGACTCAGAGTTGTCCTGTAAATCTGAGGTGTATAGTGTGAAGTGGAAAATTAGAGTACAGTCCCCTGTGGTGCTCCTGTGCTGAGAACCACCTGCTCAGACACAAACTGTGTTCTGTCCGTCAGGTATAACCCAGGAGGTTGCGGAGGTCTCTACCTGCATCTTTTGGAGCTTCCCCCGCAGAAGTACAGGCTGGATTGTGTTAAAGGCACTGGAGTAGTCAAAGAAAATAATCCACACAGTGTTACCAGCCGTTTCCAACAGAGTGGTATCCTCGGCAAACTTCAGAGGCTGTAGGGAGTTGGTCACCTAACATCTGCGATGAGCCAAGAGCAGTCTCTCCAGGACTTATAATGGTTGCGGTCAGAGGACTTCTTTGGTACCAGAACAAGGCAGGATGCTCTACTAATGCTTGATCACTACAGACAAAAACTGGAATGTAAGGCTCTAAACTCGCATTTATTGTTCTTTAATGTTCTGCTAACATGCACAAGGATCAGCCTGTGAGACATACAGTATACTTGTTCTGTCGTTTTCCAGATGAAGAAGACGATTTGCCTCAGTGGTCAACATTATTTGAACAAAATGTGAATTAACCTAATTTAACTGTGCAATAGAACCTCCAAGAGTGAGAAGACATAAAAAATGATTCTCAGACTCAGCTGCATGGGTCAAATCCCTGAAAATAAAAAGGCATATAGTCTTAAATCAGAGCTGTACATTTCTACAGGTGGCAGCATCACAATATGAATCATACAAGTAGCTAATCATGCCTGAGGAGAATAGCAACATTATTGTTCTGAGTAATTCTTTAAGATAAATTGCCAAAATTCTCTGGTCTCTGATTCTCTGACATTAAGATTTTTTTCATAGTTTTCTACAATAGTAAACTTAATATTTTTGGGTTTAGGACTGTAGGTTGGACAAAACAAGACTTTTGAAGAAGTCACTGTAGGAGATGGTGAGGGCAATTTTCACTATATTTTTACATTTTACAGAAAAACAGTGATTCCAGAAAATTATTAGTAGATTAATCTCTGATGAAAGTAATCAGCACCCCTAGTTTAACCCCATGTTAACTTCCCATAGTTAAACCACACACACACACACACACACACACACACACATACAGAACTCTGGAAAATGTCACTAAAATATACTGGTACATTCTTGATAAGTCCACTTGATATCAGGCTAGAAAGGTGCAATCCCAGCTCACTTTCAACACACACATAGACTTTGCTATTCCGAACTTTGGCCCAGAGACTCAGTCACACAGACTGAAGCAATCAATTTGACTTTCATGTAGTAGTACCTCAGCAACACAGCACACAGCCCTCTATGCTATTAGAACCACATCCAGAGTGTAAAGCTCATCAGAAAGTAACTCCACTTTGTGAGGATGGAACACAGTAAAGCCAGTGACTACATCGATCTGGTGAAAGAGTGAACAGCACAGTTTTCCTGGCAGGAGTCTACGCTGCGGAGGATTACACAGAGAGAGGGGAGAGTTCTGATGCCTATGAACAAACACAGCGTCCTACTCAAGTAAACAGGAATTAATCAAAGGGTCCAAGTAGTGGTGTGGCAAGACATTTGCAACCCCTGAATCAACACCCTGTTCCTAATTAAATAATGATCCTGCTTTGGAGGCAGTACGCCCACTGTAACCCCGTGTGGCAGCCTTCAATGCACCAGCAAGACTCAAACAACATACAGTCTTCTCAATGAGAATTACAGGGAGACCTGTATGGTTTTTTGTTTTGTTTTGTTGCTTTCAAAATCTATTTTGGGGTTTAAAACAAGTGGAATATGGCAAAGTGTTCTCCAGGATATGTGCTACAACACAGCAAAAATAATCTCAAATTGCCTTTTATTTGAAAAACACAGCAGTAAAACTACAGTTCAATTTTGAACAGTAGTTTTACTTTGGCGGGGTCAGAGCAGTACAGAGGAGCACAGGAAGCTAAAATCAGATTATAACATTTCCAAAGATACTGGTGATCTTTCACTCTGTTAACACACAATAATCTCATCCTCCTTGTATGTCACCAGTTCACTGTGCAGAAGTGCTGCTGAAGCCCACTGCTGCAACCCTTTCTTCTGCTGCCTGTATTTCTTATTTCTTTACTACACCACTAACTCTGCAAAGGAAATTATGTGTTCAGGGGTTCATGGTGTGTGACACATGGTGATGAGTTAAATAAAAAGAATTTGACATGTCGGGTTGCTGACTGTAACGTGTTTTGTGGTTTGTATCATAATGTAGCCTATCACTGAATAGAACATGCAGGAACATGTGGTGGGTATTTTAGACAACAATATTCCTAAAAGACGTTGAGCCGGAGGACTATTGTTCTTTGTTCTTTAATCATGTAGGATAAAGATTTCCAAAACAAACTAGATGTCACTGAACAGAAGCTCATACCTGCTAACTCGTCCGGTTCCAGTCCGGTTTCTGTGTCTATCCCACAAATAACAAAGTAGTGAGCGAAGCGGCAGGGCGCCGCGCCGGACACCGCGGAGCTCCCACTCATCCCGGCTTCGGTGTGCAGAGCTGTCCGCTCCTAGTTCTCCAAGCGACACATTTCCAGAAAAATGGAAAACTAGATAAAACACTCCACTCAGGTAAAGTGTTGTGCGTCGGCTCCTCGTTGTAAACAGCCTACAAGCTCCGTAATACACCGAAGTTGCTTTTAAATGTTGCTCCAGTGCTCGCTCGCTCTCAGCGCACCGTGTGAGCGGAGCTCCCGACACAGCACTGACTGCGTTGGGGGGGGAGTCGCCTGGCAGGGCGGGATATTCAAATCTCCTCCATTCAGGCCATTAATCATGCAGCTACCATCCAGCAGCCGACTGCTTCACTGTTTTGCATCCACTAGGGACTTAACCCTAGTTCACCCTACCTCAGGTACAACAAAGCACAATAATGTTTCTTAACTTTAAATATTTTACTAAAGTTGTCAAATACGCTAGTCACTGACTGCGGCCCCAATAAAGAATTGCTTGGCCTGTTTCCCTGGTCAAAATGGCTACACATTAAATAAATAATCTACTTCGGCTAGATAGCAGAGGAACCCCAGAAGGCTACTGCGGTGACATGAGCCGCCGATTGCGAAACCGTGGTCAAGCCAGCCGCCGTTTGATTTTTGTTGCGCCTATAGCAGTGTTATTATGGTAAGAAAGGGCCGTGAGCGAGCCGAAGGTCCTGAAAGATACACACGTGGGTTTTTTTTTTTGTGACGTTCTTAGTAATTATTTGAATACGACTACATACCACGGTAATATATTAATATTAATAATATAATTGTTATTAGTTATTATTACAAATGCAAAATGACCGAACTTTGACCGTTCACCAACGTAATTCCTCAGCAGTTAATTCACCGTTGTCACAGCTTCTACTTCCTAGTTAGTTCTAAAATCCCTCCAACAGCAAAAATTAAACAGACTTAAAACTTCCCTTAATAGGTGACATCACCCTTTTCATATCTTCTGCTTCATAGTGTCATCTACTATTACTGGTAGAAATATAACATTTTACTGTCAAAGTTTAAAGGTCATAGTTCAGTCAACATCCTATATCGGTTCATTTTTTTCTTTCTGAGGAGTGTGTTAGGAGATGGTATGACAACCGGGATGTCACCTATTAAAGAATTGTTTTGGTCAAAGGTCAAAGTTCACAGAAATGTTAACTGTCTGTTTAGTTTTCGCTGTTGCAGGGTGCAATATCTGCAATACCTCGTAGTTGTAAATTCTTATAATGTTTGTACCAGTGATACTAGAGGACACTAGGAAGGAGATGTTATGATAACCGTGATTACCTGTTAAAGGAATTGTTTTGACCAAAGTCAAAGTTCAGAGAAATTTCAACTGTCTAAATTTCGCTGTTGTAGTGATGTTAAGAGTGTAATTTCTCCAAGTTTGTACAGTAAATCGTCACGATATTTGTGCCAGTGATAGAAAAATTCATTAGGAAGTAGAAGCCATGATAACGGTGAACTACCTGCTGAGCAATTCACCACTGGGAATTACGTTGGTGAAAGGTTAAATTTCATATTAATTATGTTCACAAAACAGCAAATAAAGGGTCAATTTTTATTAATAACAAGTAATAATAAATTAGATTATTATTATTAAATTATGATTATTACATTTAATTATTGTTACTACTATTATCATTATTCTTCTACTTATTAATATTATTATATTACCGTGGTATGTATTTGTGTTTATATAATCACAAGAGAGCATCACAAAAAACCGCGTATGTATCTTTCAGGACCTTCCGCTCACTCGCACCTTGTGCTTACCATAATAACACTGCTTTAGGCGCAACAGAAATCAGACGGCGGCTGGCCTGACCACGGTTTCGCATTCGGCGGCTCACGTTACCGCAGTACAAGGCTTCAGATTTTGAGGTAGGCTACCCCTACCTACTAATTACAACCATGTTTTTTCAAAACTTCAATATGTCTAGATGTTTGTGGAAAAATATTTTACCTCAAATTTTGTTTATTTGGTTGATATTTAAAACCAAAAATAGTGAAAATCTAGGCTTCTCCCAAACGGCAAGCGTCTGCCTTATCTAAAAGTCATTAGTCAATTAACCTATTTTTATGATAAGACATCAGTCTTTAGTACAAATAAATAACATTTTTGGGTGATTGCCCTCCTTACCTTAATAGTGAAACTATTGCAATATCTTAATAGTGAAACTATTAAGGCAATGATCAAGTGCTGTGAGAAACTGGTTCTTCAGTTCATAAAGAACAACATCCCAGCCAGCCTGGACCCTCACCAGTTTGCTTTCAGAACCAACAGGTCCACAGAGGATGCCATCTCTGCCCTCCACTCAGCCCTCACACACCTTGAGAAAAACAACACCTACATCAGAATGCTGTTTGTGGATTTTAGCTCAGTATCAACACAATCTCCCCATGAAACTGATCCGCAAACTCTGCACTCTGGGTTTAAATACAACACTCTGCAACTGGATATTGGACTTCCTCACAAACAGACCCCAGTCAGTTCGGATTGGTGGACTCACCTCCTCCACTCTAGTGCTCAAGACCGGAGCCCCCCAGGGCTGTGTGCTCAGCCCCCTCCTGTTCACGCTGTACACCCACGACTGCATCCCCCAACTGCATCCCCTGACATGAAGGGAACTCTGTTGTGAAGTTTGCAGACGACACCACCATCATCGGCCGGATTTCAAACAAAGATGAGACTTCATATCGGGAGGAAATTGATAATCTTGCAGAGTGGTGCTCAGAGAACAACCTACTGCTCGTAGGCGTCAGCGAAACCAAGGAGCTGATCATTGATTTCAGGAAACAGGAGATAAAGACACACTCTCCTGTCTACATCAGTGGAGCTGAGGTGGAGCAGCTGAATAGTTTCAGGTTCCTGGGAATCAGCATCACAGAGAACCTGACATGGTCGTCTCACATCTCCACGCTGGTGAAGAAAGCTCAGAAACAACTGTATTTCTTAAGGAAGCTTAAGAAGGCCAAATTCCCGTGCCAAGTTCCTGTCAGCTTTTACAGAGGAGCAGTAGAAAGCATCCTGACTGGAAACATCACTAACTGGCATGGGATGTGCACGGCTCAGGACCGGAGGGCTCTGCAGTGGGTGATTAAAACTGCTCAGAAGATCATTGGTACCCATCTCCGAGCATCAGTGATAGCGGTGAGGTGAGGTGCCTTCTGAGCCCAAAGGATACTAAAGGACAGCACCCACCCAGCCACAGCCTGTTCACTCTGCTGCCTTCTGGGAAGAGATATAGAAGTTTCTGCTGCCACACCACCAGACTGCAGAGCAGCTTTTTCCCCCAAGCTATCAGACTCTTAACTAATTAATCCTCAGCACTGCTCCACTGAATATCATTTATGTCTGTTTACCATTTTTATAATTACTTTTATATGTATATTGTCTGCTACATAGCACAAACTAGAAGTTTACTCCACAACCTGATATACTGTGACAAATAAATCTATCTTGTACCTTGCTGGACATTATATATACAGTGGAGAGAACAAGTATTTGGTTTTTCTACTTACAAAGCATGTAGAGGTCTGTAATTTTTATCATAGGTACACTTCAACTGTGAGAGACAGAATCTAAAACAAAAATCCAGAAAATCACATTGTATGATTTTTAAATAATGAATTTGCATTGTATTGCATGACAACCAGTAAGAATTCTGGCTCTCATAGACCTGTTAGTTCTTCCTGTAATTTTCTCATGTTAAACTCAGATAAAACTGAAGTTATTGCTCTGGGGCCTAAGCACCTCCGTGACGCATTATCTAAAGATATAGTTTCCCTTGATCGCATCGCCCTGGCCTCCAGCACCACTGTGAGGAATCTTGGAGTTATCTTTGATCAGGACATGTCGTTTAAGTCTCACATTAAGCAAATTTCAAGGACCGCCTTTTTTCACCTACGTAATATTGCGAAAATCGGGAACATCCTGTCTAAAAATGATGCAGAAAAACTAGTCCATGCATTTGTTACTTCTAGGCTGGATTACTGCAATTCCTTATTATCAGGCTGCTCGAAAAAGTCCATTAAGACTCTTCAGCTGATCCAGAATGCTGCAGCACGTGTTCTAACAGGAACCAGGAAAAGAGATCACATTTCTCCTGTCTTAGCTTCTCTGCATTGGCTTCCAGTAAAATCCAGAATAGAACTTAAAATCATTCTTACCTACAAAGCTCTTAATGGTCAGGCACCATCTTATCTTAAAGAGCTCATAGTACCTTACTACCCCACCAGAGCACTGCGCTCCCAGAATGCAGGGTTACTTGTGGTTCCTAGAGTCTCCAAAAGTAGACTAGGAGCCAGAGCGTTCAGCTATCAAGCTCCTCTCCTGTGGAACCAGGTTCCAGTTTGGGTTCAGGAGGCAGACACCATCTCCACATTTAAGAGTAGGCTTAAGACTTTCCTCTTTGATAAAGCTTATAGTTAGGGCTGGCTCAGGTGAGTCCTGAACCATCCCTTAGTTATGCTGCTATAGGCCTAGACTGCCGGGGGATTTCCCATGATGCACTGAGCTCCTCTCTCCTCTACTTTCTCTCCCTCTGTATGCAACCTCATCCCATTATTGCATGTTACTAACACAACTTCTCCCCTTTCTGGTAGTCTTGTGCTTTCTCGTCCCTCTCCTCTCTCCTCCTATCACTTCCTGCAGGTTTTCTGGCTCTGGAGCTGTGGAGTCTGGAGCTGTGGCTGCGGGTCACCTGCTGCCCCCGTGTTCCTGCTCGACACCCTCTGCTACAACTGTTACAATTGTTACTAGTCCTATTGTTATTATTGTTATTATAATCATTAACATTACGATTGTTATCATTAACACTACTATAAATATCTGTACCATTTTTCATTTAGTCTATAGCAACATCACCTTTACTGTCTGTACCTCTGTGTGTATATTGTGTAGGCTGCCTCCCTCCCCTCTCTCTCTCCTTCCATCCCTCTCTTTTTCTCTCTGTTCCTCTCCTGCTCTCTCTCTCTCCCTCTCTCTCTCTCCCTCTCTCTCTCCCTCTCTCTCCTTCACCCCAACCGGTCGAGGCAGATGGCCGCCCACCCTGAGCCATGGTTCTGCTCGAGGTTTCTGCCTCTTAAAAGGAAGTTTTTCCTTGCCTCTGTCGCCTAGTGCTTGCTCTTGGTGGGAACTGTTGGGCTTCTGTAAATAGCATCATAGAGTACGGTCTAGACCTGCTCTTTTATGAAAAGCGCTGTGAGATAACTGTTGTTGTGATTTGGCGCTATATAAATAAAATTGAATTGAATTGAATTCCTTAAGAAGCCCTCCTGTTCTCCACTCATTACCTGTATTAACTGCACCTGTTTGAACTCGTTACCTGTATAAAAGACACCTGTCCACACACTCAGTCAAACAGACTCCAACTTCTCCACAATGGCCAAGACCAGAGAGCTGTGTAAGGACATCAGGGATAAAATTGTAGACCTGCACAAGGCTGGGATGGCCTACAGGACAATAGGCAAGCAGCTCGGTGAGAAGGCAACAACTGTTGGTGCAATTATTAGAAAATGGAAGAAGTTCAAGATGACGGTCAATCTCCCTCCGTCTGAGGCTCCATTCAAGATCTCACCTCGTGGGGCATCAATGATCATGAGGCTAGAACTACACGGCAGGACCTGGTCAATGACCTGAAGAGAGCTGGGACCACAGTCTCAAAGACAACCATTAGTAACACACTACGCCGTCATGGATTAAAATCCTGCAGCGCACGCAAGGTCCCCCTGCTCAAGCCAGCGCATGTCCAGGCCCGTCTGAAGTTTGCCAATGACCATCTGGATGATCCAGAGGAGGAATGGGAGAAGGTCATGTGGTCTGATGAGACAAAAATAGAGCTTTATGGTCTAAACTCCACTCACTGTGTTTGGAGGAGGAAGAATGATGAGTACAACCCCAAGAACACCATCCCAACCGTGAAGCATGGAGGTGGAAACATCGTTCTTGGGGATGCTTTTCTGCAAAGGGGACAGGGCGACTGCACCGTATTGAGGGGAGGATGGATGGGGCCATGTATCGCGAGATCTTGGCGAACAACCTCCTTCCCTCAGTTAGAGCATTGAAGATGGGTCGTGGCTGGGTCTTCCAGCATGACAACGACCCGAAACACACAGCCAGGGCAACTAAGGAGTGGCTCTGTAAGAAGCATCTCAAGGTCCTGGAGTGGCCTAGACAGTCTCCAGACCTGAACCCAATAGAAGGTCTTTGGAGGGAGCTGAAAGTCCATATTGCCCAGCAACAGCCCTGAAACCTGAAGGATCTGGAGAAGGTCTGTATGGAGGAATGGGCCAAAATCCCTGCTGCAGTGTGTGCAAACCTGGTCAAGAACTACAGGAAACTTCTGATCTCTGTAATTGCAAACAAAGTTTTCTGTACCAAATATTAAGTTCTGCTTTTCTGATGTATCAAATAGTTGTCATGCAATAAAATGCAAATTCATTATTTAAAAATCATACAATGTGATTTTCTGTATTATTGTTTTAGATTCAGTCTCTCACAGTTAAAGTGTACCTATGATAAAAATGACAGACCTCTACGTGCTTTGTAAGTAGGAAAACCTGCAAAATCAAATATAGTATCAAATACTTGTTCTCCCCACTGTATGTACACTATACAAAACTTTTGGATATTTATTTTCCTATTCAATTTCCACCAATAGTTTGTGTTTAAAGTGTTTAGATTTTGAATATGAACAAATGTAATAACGGTCTGTGAACATGCAGTTCAAATTTGGTGACATTCTGATGATTATTTCCAGAGATACATGTGTAAGGCAGACGCTGTCCCTTTTTTGGAGGAGCCTAAATTTAATATTTTCAGATTTTTGGGAGGATGTAAATATCAGCCAAATAAACTAATTTTGCAGTAGAATATTTTTACATTAACATCCATTTCAACAACTGGGCATCTTAAAGTTGTGAAAAAACAGTTGTAATTTGTAGAAAGAAGACTTGGGGGATTTGTTCCTCTAGTATGTCGACTTAGAATACAATTAATGTATTATTCGTTTGTGATCACCATGTTTTGACCAGGAAATAATCATTCTTTATTGGGGCCGTAGTGACTATATGACTTCTATTATAACATTACATTTAAAGCTGGTATTTTGCACATTTTACCTCTTAATCTATGCATAAAATATTTTACTAATCACTTAATACCTTATCCATTCTTTCATTAATAATTAACCATGATTCCTCTGTCACAAATTTACTCAACAGATAAGTGAACTTCGCAGTCTCAGTGCATTATGGTTTCTTAAGCAGTTTTATTGTAAAATGCTGTTCACTCTGAAGATAGGAAAAAAAAAAAACATCAGATTTTGTGGCCCATTGAAACATAGCAGGTTGCCTGTAATGGTCAACCTTAACTTTAAGGTGGACATGAATTCATATTCTATAAATAATTACTATATTTACTATCATTGTTTCTTCATCAGATATTACAGCTATACTGCAAAACATCAGACTTTGTGATGCAAGATGGTCCAAGGCCCCAGCCACACACCGCGTTTTCAAATTAAAACGCAGACTTTTTGCTACATTTGCACCGTCCAGACTACAACGATGAAAACGAAGAGCTAAAACAGTTTAGAAACGCTGCCAACCCCGTTTAGCGTTTCAAAACTCCGGAGGGCGTTTTAGTGAAGACGGGCCAAAACGGAGGACTTCAGAAACAATGATGCAGCTGCTCACGCTCGGCTCTCTGATTGGGTCTTGCAGAGCAGAAACACAATGCTGCTGACCGGGTTTTTCCACATCATATTTTTATTAAAATAACACTCATCTGCCTACACTTGTACTGTGCATGTTGCCGTTTACTTTGCAACAACTCCCACTCAGTTTTCTGCCGCCACACTCCCGTGTTACATTCAGTAATAGTCTCAGCTCGTCATTGATCCATGCAACAAAAAATAAATAAACTGGTCTGATGCTTAGTCTGTATTTATTCTTTCGCCAAATCTTCTGTAACTACGACCATCTGCTTCATGTTTACACTGGCACGCGCATGCCCAGTGCACCTGAACGGGTCCTGTGCGTTTTCAGTGGTTTAAATGTAGGAGATCAACTCCAAAACGCAGTGGAAACGCTGGTGTGGACGGAGATCGTATTCGTTTTAATTCTCCGTTTGTAAACTAAAACGGAGTAGTGTGGATGGGGCCAAAGACTGATAGATGGGGTGTTAAGGCTCCAGTGACAGCTACCATTTTCTGCTATCACAGCTGTTGAAATGTATGATGTAATCTCAATACCACACTTTAACATGCAACAATCATGACATCACACCAGGCAATACACTGTAGCTACTGCCACTGCTGTTCCCTATCAAATGACAGAAGCTGACAGGTCACAACATGTTAACCACGAAACTGGAGAGCACATGTAAGTGTAATATATAGTGCACTGTCTCCCTCTAGTGGTGAAATAAAAACATACAAGCAAAACAGGCAAGCAATGGATCCATTTAAGACTATGTATTTTGACATCAACATTTTAAAAAGTAATACAACATTCTCTCATCAGAGCCAAGTACAAAAACACTATCAACTTAAAAAAAATCGGACTGATGTATACAGGCCTTTATATTTAACAAAGTAATGCTGAATTTGAATATCTATTTTGAGGTAGCTGGTAAAAGAACATGGGTGTCCAGGTGACACCAAAACAAAACATTCAAAAACAATGACTTTACCAGAAAGAGCTGATACAATATATTTACAGTACACATATACACACAAAGTTAAAACACAGAATATTCAGCTTTCTAATAGGTATAAAGTAGTCTGTCACTGTACAGTATACACATGCTTTGGAAAATCAAAGAAATTTCAGTTACAACAGTAACTGCTGTTCTGGCCCCTCAACCACCCGTCTCTGTGGGAGCCAAACAAACTTGATTTGTAGACACAGGAACCTTTTTCCTTCACAGGGGAATTGTGGATCGACGCTTCTTCCCCTTCCTGCCAAAACCTACAATGAAAAATAGCAGACAAGAGGGAAAGAAATAATTGAACCTGTATCTCTGAAACCAGAAAACCTGGTGAAACTGCATAGTGCGTCGGTTGGCTGTAAAATGATTATGCATGTGTTGGGCCTCAGGCAGGTCAAACAGTGGGAAATAAGAGAATGCTGTGCCCACATCTTTTCAGAGACCTGCTCCATTATTCCGGATCAAGCACTCGCTGGTCAAACTGTGTTCCGAGCTGACAAGACTCCAGCCACATAACAGAAGGACGACTCTGTGGTTACATTGATGATGTTTGTTGCTCAAACATTGCTCACAAATAGTGGGTTTCCCAAAATGTCGGACGTTTTGTGTAAATAAAAATCAATTATCACTATCACATTGCTGGTTACACTCTCCCAGATGCAATGTGTGTAGTAGATAGATAATATCTTAATTGTTGTTTGAACGATATGTGAGCAGACATCATCAAGTAAGCTACATCAATCCAAAGCACCAGTCATTGCGTCATGCAGTACATGTGTGCTGGAGTTAAACCAGCAGTAGCTGCGGAAATATTTGTGAAGTTAAAAATGAGTGAACAAACAGCGCCAGGTGATAAAACATTGTTAGGCTGAATCACTAGACGTGGACCAACCTCATGCGCAAGGATGTTAAATACCACAAACTAACCACCACACGGAATAACAAGAATATGAAGAGTTTTGGGGGTCAGCTGTCCACGACAGACCTAAAGCAGCCAAGGTACCAGCATAAAAACACTCAAACACGCTACACTGATGAAAGAATCAAAGCCACTAAGACAACAGCTACGACTCAGGGCTAATACAGCAACAGATGAAATGGTTTACTCATCACAATAGTGAGTTCTAAACGTCAATCAGTCTGTATCAGTCCATGCTCCTCCTCTCTGCTTTTAGTCAGGTAACGTTACCAGGTAGGAGGAGGAGCGGCTGGTTTGTCTCAGCCAGCAGCTGAGTTTAAGACTACAGACCAGTCTAGACAGACAGCTTTCTATTTAGCTTGTTTTTAAACATTTGGCTAACTGCCAAGCTAACGTTAGCTGTGCTTGTAAATAATATACAGGTTGAGAGACTGAGGACAGAGATAATTAACCCTTTCTACATGTTTACCTTACACACATCGTGCCTGCGCTTGACCTTGATTTTCGGGTTTTGAGAAATTTTGGAACCGGGTTCTTTTAGAACCGGGTCTCAATCCCCATTTACAAATAATAAAATTAATGTCCGAGGGGATTAAAACATGCTTTCTCAGGGCAGTATGATGTAAAAAATTAAGATGGTATTTGTGTGTGGGAAAAGTTTTGTTTCCAATAATGAAATCCCACATAATTCTGGAACGTTGTTATTACCACATCTGTGAATAATAAGTTGGGAAATCTAGAGCAGATTTTGAAAACTACAGCCCAAAAGCTAAACTTACTAAAGAAGTCTACTGGATTTGACAGCTGAGGTTGGAAAAGGAGGAGGCATTTAGGAGTGGTGACAGGGCAAGGAGGTGCGAGAAGCTAAACGACTGTACTCAGAGAGACTAAAGAACCAGTTCTCTGCAAACGACGCCACTTCTGTCAGGGGGGTTCAGACAGATCACAAACTATAAATCCAAAGTCCTCCACTCCATAAACGATGCTCGACTGGCAAATGAGCTGAACCAGTTCTACTGCTGCTTTGAGAGTCAGACACCATCCCCTGTGACTCCTCTGGTCAGCTTCAGCCTCAGTCCACCACTTCTTCCCCTCCCTCCTCAGAGCTGGCCAGCTCCACCCCCTCCCCTCCTCTCTCCATCACAGAGAGGGAAGTCAACGGTCTTTTCAGGAGGCAGAAACGCTGCCCTTCCACCCTGAAGCACTGTGCTGATCAGCTGTCTCCGGTGTTCACAGACATTTTTAACGCCATGTGCCAGCCTGCTTCAAAGCCTCCACTATCATCCCTGTCCCCAAGACACCAAGGACCACAGAACTAAACGACTACAGACCCGTTGCCCTGACCTCTGTGGTTATGAAGTCTTTTGAACGCCTTGTGTTGTCCCACCTAAAATCCATTACAGACCCACTCCTGGACCCCCTGCAGTTCGCCTACAGAGCCAACAGGTCTGTAGATGATGCAGTAAACGTGGCCCTTCACTACATCCTCCAGCACCTGGACTCCCCAGGAACCTACGCCAGGATCCTGTTTGTGGATTTCAGCTCTGCTTTTAACACCATCATCCCGGCCCTGCTGCAGGACAAGCTCTCCCAGCTGTCTGACTCCACCTGCAGGTGGATCACTGACTTCCTGACGGACAGGAAGCAGCACATGAAGCTGGGAAAACAGGTCTCTGATTCCAGGACCTTCAGGACTGGTTCTCCTCAAGGCTGCATTCTTTCCCCTCTGCTCTTCTCCCTGTACACCAACAGCTGCACCTCCAGTCACCAGTCTGTCAAGCTGAACTTTGCGGATGACTCCACCCTCATTGGGTGGGGATGAGTCCGCCTACAGGTGGGAGATCGACCATCTGGTGACCTGGTGCAGCCAGAACAGTCTGGAGCTCAACACTCAGAAGACTGTGGAGATGGTCATGGACTTCAGGAAGAGCCCAGCCCCACCCTCCCCCATCATCCTGTGTGACTCCCCAGTCACCACTGTGGACTCCTTCCGCTTCCTGGGCACCATCAACTCCCAGGACCTCAAGTGGGAGCTGAACATCACCTCCATCATCAAAAAGGCCCAGCAGAGGATTTACTTCCTGCGGCAGCTGAAGAAGTTCAGCCTGCCAAAGACAATGATGGTGCACTTCTACACCGCCATCATTGAGTCCATCCTCACCTCCTCCATCACCATCTGGTACGCTGCTGCCACTGCCAGGGACAAGGGCAGGCTGCAGCGTATCATTCGCTCTGCAGAGAAGGTGAGTGGCTGCAATCTCCCTTCTCTTCTGGACCTGTACGCCTCGAGGACTCGGCGAGCAGGAAAGTACAAACTACTCTGAGGACTCTTCCCTCTGGCAGGAGGCTGCGGTCCATCAGGACCAAAACCTCTCGCCACAAAAACAGTTTCTTCCCGTCTACAGCTAGCCTCATTAACAAGGCCTGACACTCCCCCTTGCAAATGATACAAATGTCTCTGCACATGTAAATACTGTTTCATCTCGTGTCGGGCACAGACCTGGAACGTCGCACATATTTTTGAATATTTTTTCCGCACACACACACACACACACACACACACTCACTATCTCTTCCGTTGCGTTACTTCTGCACGGCACAGACCCAAAATAATGCACATGTATATATCTGCAACGTTGTTCTTCCATTCCATATTTGTATATTTCTACATTTATTTATGTCGACTGTATGTTTGTCTACGTGTAGCAGCTTATCACCACAGCAAATTCCTTGTATGTGTAAAACACTACTTGGCAATAAAGCTCCTTCTGATTCTGAAATATTCAATGCTGAAATATATAAATGGGGGTCTGGGGGTCCCCTAGAAAATTTTGAGCACTCAACACTTCATTTCCTGCATTTTGGAGACATTTTCTGCACCAATTTATGGTAGAATTGTCTTTATTTAAATAAAGTGATTTTTTTAGCTTAAACTTCTTTAAACAATGCATATTTGTTTCTTTTATCTTTAAATTGCATTGCATGTTTACTTATTGAGCAAATAAACATTTCTCAAAGTATTAATTTGTATTTTTTTAACATTTCTTGTTGCAAGCTTTTTTCAGAACTTATTTAACAAATGCTTTAAACAAAGTGATGGAGACATGTCCCCAGTATCCACAGTGTGACACCTATGAAATGAATACAATATTTGTGCACTAAGAACTCTTAAGGGGTGAAATCAAAAATACAAACATCAAAATTGTGTGGTGAGAGTTGTTGCAATTAGTTACACCTTGGCTAGATAAAGTAATGTAAGATAATATAATATGCCAATCGCTTCAGTGATTATTCATCCAGTTTGGTTTTTCTAAAGCATCTAAAGGCTGCTTGAAATGTAGTATTAAATAGTATTGGCTTGAAAGCAGTGGGGAAAAGGAGTTGGGGTCCGCTTTGTTTTTCCCTCGTATCCGTGATCACCGCATCTGGGTGATTTAAGTTTAATGTGCGTTAGATTGATGTTTCCATTCATAACGTTAGCCTATAACAGCGGTGCAACGGCGACACACAGACATGGTCCTCGTCTCATACACACCTGTCTCTCCGTTGCTGTTGTAGCATTCACTGACCAGTAACCTTCAGCTGGTCTTCCAGCACCGCTGTTCCATTAGCGCTCGCCATAGTGTGACTGGCTCGCACGCCGATCAGCTTGTTGTGCTAACCTCAGCACCACTGCCCTCAGCCTCGTCCGCCAACTTGTTCGTATCTCTGGCTTTCTGAATTTCAGACACTTTCCCATTCTGAGTCGTCGAGCTAACGTTACTACCAAGTCAGACATTTTCTTCTCTTTTCTTTTCTAGTAACCAACTGATTTGCTCAGAGCTGGATGCCAGAGCTCGTGCACCGCAAACACTTCACAGTTCAGAGCGTAAAGCTGAACACGGACGTAAATAGTAACATTACCTGTACTACCGTATAACATCTACCACACCAAACGGAATATATTATGAAGTCTCACACACAAAACATTTATTTATGACGTTTCGGCATTAATTAAATCCTACGAAAGGACAAGCAAAATTTAAGATCTCTGTAAACGAAATTTAATACTATTAAAGGCCTTATTTTTGGAATATGAAATTTAAGGCCTTTTAAATACCCCTGCAGGTACCCTGTTCTAAACCTCGCTCAGTATTTTGATGTCAGAAATGTGATTTATTTCACTGACGTTTCAGATTGGTTTCCACTGAGATATTGAGTGTGTGTAGTGACTTTACAGTAGTAAACTTTACTGTTGCTACTCTAGAACATTGTATTTAAAATATTAAATTCTAATCCTATTCTGAATTTGAAGACAACCAGGCAGCTACTATGCACACATCAATATTTGTTTATTTATCGCAAGTCATATCAATGTTATCGCAGATCTTCCGCATATCGTGGAGGCCTAGAATTTATGTGAACCTATTCTAATATAAATGTTATGTTACGTAGGGGACTGGACACTTTCTTTTCAATGTACAGCTTTGTGTCGTATGACGATAAACTACCTTGATCCTTGATCCTGGAAGCATCACCTTTTGTTGGCGTGGCCACTGTTCTTTGACCACTTCTGTGACTTTTCACCCCAGAGCCTATGGTAAGAATATGGGTTAGGAACATGCATTCAGATTAGAGGCATTAAAAATAACTTGATTTTCATCATCATATGAATTTATTAAAAGACACTTAAAATGCAGTTTAGAGACTTCAAAAGAACACACCTAGTTCCCTTGGGGCATCACGAGTTATGGCCTTTGTCCACTGTTTGGCGTCAATCTGGGACTTCTTCATCAGAGGGGTTGCAGAATCTAAGTTGCGCCTCAGTTTGGGTGCCCTGTCATAGTGCCTCGGTCCTGGTCTAGCTTCCCTTCCAGAATTATGATTTGTGGTTTTCAAGTCATCCTCCATCCCCAGGCTAGTTTTTCTGTCTCTCCTGGTTGGGTAATAGCCGTCCTGCCATTCTGCGGTCACTTGTTTCCTTGCTGATGATTGCATGGTTGCAGATGATTGACCTTGTGTAGGAGTGTATGGATGATCTAATGTAGAGGGGTTGCCATTAGAGTGAGACCTCCGTAGAGTGGATGAAGACACATTTCTGGGAATAGATGGATTCTGCTTAGATTTAGGAAGACTAGAAGAGGTGGAGGTTTCTCCAGACTGAGACAAACCTCTTTGGGAGGCTGAGCTTTGTCTGGCTTCAGAACCTTTTCCACAAGAAGAAAAGCTAAAGGTGGAGGTGGGTGGGCCTTCCTGGCTAGGTGACGAAAGTTTGGGTTTTGTTACGTTGGCCTGAAATTTATTCTTTGTTGCATGGTGCAACTCATCTGCAAGTTGTGGTTTGGATACAAATCTTCCCTTTTTATTTCTGAACAAATGAGTCATATTAATTCCACTGGAGTCAGTCTGTTTTCTGGTTGGTGTGGGACGCTTTGGACCCTGGGTTTCATCTTTGTCCTGCCTGTGGACTCTAGATTCTTTTAAAAGTTGCAAGTAGTCATTGGGTTGGGGAGACCACTGAACAAGAAAGCGAGGAATCACGGGATTCTGACTCACAGTGTCCACGGACTGCAGCTGCTTCTCTGGTAAATCTTTAAATGACTGAGTGTTTTTTTCAGGCTTTTCATTGGCAGTTCCACAAAGATGATCCACAGTTTCAGTTGAAGGACTGCTTTGTTTAGCAAATAAAGAATCACAACTGTCCTCTGATCCTGATGGGAGTATATTCTTTGTATTTGTCTTCTTTTTGCTGAAGTTGTCTTTTTTAAGCACTTCATCAGAATCATGGGAAACTTTTCTTTTTGAGGTTATTTGTCTGTTAGTCTTGTGTTGAACATGATCAGAGCCACCTTTAGTTCCAATCAGATGCCCACTCTTTTTTACACTGTGTGACTGATTAGAGCATGCATCCTGCATCACTTCTTTAAACTGTGTATCATCAACTTTAGACTGGTGCTGTGGCAGTGATGAGTCTGCAGATGGCAGTCTGCTTTTTTTAAACTTTGTTTTAATATTTCCACACCGACTGCCTGCAGTTTCAGGTGCATGCCTCTTTTGTTGAACACAGGGGGCATCACCACCATCTGTTGAGCCTGAGGAGAATCTCTTCCTGTTTGCCTTCTTTTTGTAGTTTTGATCATCGTCATCACCTGTGTCAGAATCAAGGATTATTACATCATCCTTTTTAGCAATCTTTTGCCTGTCAGTCTTCTGTTTAACATGATCAGAGCCAGCTTTGGTTTCAATCGGCTGCCCACTCTCGCCCGTACTGTGTGACCGGTCAGAGCAAGCATCCTGCGTCACTTCTTTAAACCCCATTTCAGTTGGCAGTCTGTTTTTTGGAAACTTTTCTTCAGTAGTTCCACACCAACTGTTCACAGTTTCAGGTGATTGTCTCTTTTGTTGACTATATGGTCCATCACCACCATCCTCCGTGTCAGAATCAATGATTATTACATCATTATCTTCACCCTCTCTTTCAGACACATCTTCATCAGTCTCTGGGAGCAGAGGTGCTGACCTCTTCTTCCAAAACTTCCTGTGCACAGTCATATAGTTATGTTCTGGTCCTGATGAGTAATCACAACTGTCTTCAGTATCACAGCTGTCTTCATGCTCAGACTCACTCCTGTTCTGAAGTTTATATGCTTCTCCCCCAGAGTCCACTTCATGTTCAGATAGGCACTTGTCTGATACCACCTCGAATATATTCTTAAATTGTAAACATTTTGCTTGTTGAAAGCTCTGAATTGTGTCAAACACCTCTAGCTTTCCTGTTGAAGCAGAAGCTGGTCCTGGTTTTGGAGCTGGCCACGGTGACTCATGGTGTGTGGAACTTCTGTCATATGATCTTTCTTTGTCTCCAGTTTCATCATCATCTAGCAGAACATTTTCTGGGCTGTCTTGGTCTTCATCATCCATTTCAAATTTAAGGTCTGAAATGCTGATTGGTATGACTGTCCAGTCATCATCCTCCTCCATCTGATCAGTCTCATCATTCAAAAAAGAGGAAGGACTACATGAAATAGAGTGGTTTGTTGGCAATCCCAGATGGCGGTTACTGTCGCACTTAGGACTTAAATCAAAGTCATCAGTTTCCATAAAACATGGAGAGCAATGTTGTGCTATATCTGAAATGACTGCCATCTTCATGTGAGTCTGACCATGCTCATGGCCTTTATTTTCCAATGGTGACTGCTTGTCGTTGCGTTCAGGTACTTGTGTAAGCAAAGGCCTCTCCACAGACATATTCTCCATCTGCACATTTTCATCTTCACTTATGTCTTCATACTGTGGGTCTTCATAATATACTGCAAAGCTTGATTCCGCATGCTCTGTGTTTGGGGTGATTTTGGCCAGTTGTGACGTCTTGATGTCTTCATCTGAAATGTCTTCATAAAATGGATCTTTTAAAATTTGTACAAGATGTGCTTCCTCACCCTTGCCTTTAAATAGAGGGGCATGTTCTTTGACTTTGTTTTCATAAACTGCAGTCCTTAGATCAGTCTGTGAAAGCACAGAACCTGCATCCTCCCTCACACCTGCACGACTTGTTTGGTTGCACACCATTTCACTTTGCATTGATACGTGAAAAATGTTATCAATTGATGAATTTAGTTTGGGATGTGCAATTACATCCTTATTGCCAACATCCCAATGTTGTTTAGCAAGGTTATTCTTTGGATTTTCAAGGAGCATTTTGTTTTCAGATACCTCTAAACTGGACTTTGTGTGCACATTGTCCAACCCTAGTGTCTCCACTGGTTTAAGGCCTGCATCTCCTTTCTCCTCTTCTGTCATATATTTGAACCAACCAACACTAGGCACTTGGTGTGTGTCATCCAAATTCTTGATATTTAAATGAAGAGGCTTATATTCTTCTTGTGGCAAGCGGCAGTTGAGCATTGAAGAGTGCTTCTCAGTCGGTTCATCCAAGGTCACTTCAGACATTGCGGTGAGAACCACCGGACTCTCATCTTCACTCTTGGCGCAATTGGCAGCAACTTTCATCATAATTTGTGGATATTCTGTGGATGTAAAGAGATGAACGTTATCTATATTCCCATTCCAATATTGTTGCAGTATGACTTTAGATAAGTTGTCCATCTCTGCAATGGTTTCTACATTCTCCAGACTAGCAATCAACTCCTTTAGTGCAGTTAATGAATAATGAAGAGTGGTCAAGCCACTCTGTAAATGCTTATCATAATATTTACTACGGAAACTTTCATCATTGCTACAGGAAAATGTTTTGTCTTTATAGTGATCTGAGTAAAAAAGTTTGCCATTTGCATGCATAGTTACGTCGAAGTGTTTTTTTACAGGCAAATCCAAAGCTGCAGATACACGGTTCTCAAAAGATTGATTTTTATAAGCATGTGATGAGTCTCCAACAGCAGAGATTAGTGTACCTGTTGAAGGTTTCTCTGATACAGATGTAGAACAATAACCTGTCTCTTTAGATTTGATAAGCAAATCAGCATCTGCTTTGCTCCCCTTCGAACGGTCCTCTCCTTTTTGTCCAGCTGCAGCAGTGCGCTGCGCAATTACAGCACTTTGCCTTTCAACATCATCTTTGTCAGAGGCAGAGGTTGTAGGGAGATGGGCAACACTGTTGGACATGATGCCGTCAGATGGGAGTGTCAAGTTCCTGTCAGTGCAAAAATTCCACCCCTTATTGATGTGTGGGTGTCCATTATTTTTGTTTTTATATAATTTTGCAAGCCTTTTTACAATAAAGTCCAGTTTTTGGTCATCTATAGGTTCCGTTTCTTCAACCGTCGAGACTTTGTTTATGGATAGCTGAGCGCTAACAGAGGATGGGGAGACCTGCTGCTGACGCAGGGTGAAATGAGTTCCTCTTGAATGATCTAGGTGTTGTGTTGTAGTCTGGCCACAGTTAAGAGCAGTTTGGGAACTTTTCACTTGCCCACCCCTGCAGTTCATATCTGAAAAATTAGTATCAGAATTCATTTCAGTCAAAATTTCTTCTGACGAAGGACATGGGGAGGTACGGGATTTGGAATCTGGAGGATTTGCTTTCAGCAAGTTGTACAGCAGTGGACACATTGTCTCCTGTTTGCTCTCAGACACAAAAGAACACTGATCCTGTAATGGAAATGTGATTCCAAGGTAGTCTTCCTGAGGTGCTGCAGAACTGGTACCGGCTGATAAGGCATAATTTAAATCTCGTCTTTGCTGCAGTCTAGTATTATTGTTCAAATGTGACTCTTCTGGAATATGAAAATTTCCCTTAGAACATTCCCTTTGTTGTCCACAGTAAAGGTGTAACATTGTTGTCTTAAGGTGATGTGAAAACACCAAGGATAGTCCAGTGTTACGCAGGATGGGGCCCCCTCCTTGGCTGTGTCGCCATCCACATCGCACCGCATGTAGAGCAACCTTTCAAGTGATGACTTCAATTAAGCGCTTCCCAGGTCTAGGAAACAAATGTAAAAAAAAAAAAAAGACAATTAGTGGTTTGCTGATTTCACATTCAAAGCGACCTTTAACTTAAGAATCCTTTGCCTATGGTTGTGCTTTTGTTTGCACTTATTAGCAAATGATTGAGACAAGGCCGGGCTACGCCAGCTAAAGACCCGATCCACATTCTCACCACTTTAAAGGAGACCTATTATGCCATTCTACATTTCATGACTTATTTACAATGTTGGATGTTCATGTTTCAAATGATGAGGTTGAACTATTTAAAAGAAGTCCCTGTGTAATGTTCTTGTGCAGTGTGTGTAAAACACCGACTAAACACTCAGTTAAACCGTAGCCAATGGAAAGCCCTAAAGGCACCACACCCTGTGAGCCAAAACCTCAGATTTCCTCCTGTTCTGAACTGCTTTTTCTTCTAGCAGCTCCATTCTACGTACAGTGCCGGTGTTCTATATATGGGCTTTTTCTCAATCTGCGTTCTTGTCTGTACTTGTGTTCTTGTGAAACGTCATCAGTCGCAGCCAAAGTACTGTTCCAATTCAAAAGTCTGCATCTAGCCAAGTACAGTCAAATACCCGGATGTGTTCTCGCTCCGCCCCTTTTACCAAACCTGCATCGGTGGTGACTTGTGTGGACTTCGGATCGCCAGATATCCCAGGATGCATTTCGCTGCCAAAAAGCAGAAATGTCGGACGAGAAAAAAGAACTGTAACTTATAATACTGCTGTTCTTATGTCACATATAGTAGTTTTAAGAGATTTTTTATGCAGGAATATAGTTGTTTAAACTACAAATATGTAGTTGATTTCTCAAGACAGAGCTGATTTTAAAAATTGCTACGATGTTTTCGGAAATGTGAGGTCCCGCCCGCTAACGGGTCTGGCCATCATCAAGTCTGCTGCTGTTCCAATTGCTGAATGACTGACTGCGTGCTCCCGTTCCTGGAAGTTTGTACTCCCAAGCCAAACTTGCCAAGTCCGAGCTTTAAGTACAGAAGTCCGAACTTGCCGAACTCCGTATAGAGAAACAGCCATGTCATTGGCTCCCATAGCAACAGCATAGCAACGCTCCCTCTGCCTGTTCCCCGCAGCAACAACAGCAGCCTGGTAACATGCTTCAGGTCTTGGCCAATCAGAAGACCGTGGGCTTTGAGAGGGGGTGCTTTAAAGAGACAGGAGCATCTAGAGCTTATTTCAGACAGAGGCTGAAATGAAGGCCTACATGAAGAGTCAGTATAAGAATTTTTTATTTATTTTTTTACTTTGAATCATGTAAAGCTGCTATACATGCGTCACAGAATTACAATATAGGACTGGAAAAGCAGTATAATAGGTCTCCTTTAATGATTGCGTTTCAACCTACATATTTTATGATCGTTAGCACCTTTTGTGTATAACTGTTTAATCATACACCACACGAAATGCCTACAAAATCCCTGACTTTATTCAAGTGTACCTTGAATTAATGCTTGTTTAAAAAGGATGGTCACACCAAATATATATTCGATTTTTCTTCTGTTTACTCAACTTTGCATTTGTTAAATTACGCATATAATTTATCTTCCATATCCTACTACAAAGAAAAAACCCTAACAAGAAATCTTCAAAAAATATAAAAATGAATTCACCAAGTAAAAACGTCAACTTTAGTGTTACCCATGCATGAGTTATTTGTGGCTGCCACTGACCTCCACATATTTTTTTTGTAACATAATTTAAAATGGGTAAAGCAAAAACGTAGTTTATTGAAGAGCTGTGCAGCTCATATGTTCGCTCAGAACCCCTCTAGTTCGCTCTCGCAAATACATCGACATATGACCAACCTTAACTGAATGGTTAACATCATAAACATGGCTGCACAAGTCTGTCCAACAGGCGGTTAATGTCGGAGACCCACCTCAAAAAAGTTATTATTAGCAAGCATGCCTAGCTAATAAGGATAGCTATGTAACGTTAGGCTAAACGTTATTATACAACTGGGAGTTCGAGGTTATAGACCGTTGTACATAGCTGCTCGACTCCACCACTATTCCAGCCATGATATATCTGTCAGTGTCATTAAATCAAGTTACTTAACGTTACCCAAGGACTTTCAGCTTACTTTCTTGCAGTTGTTGTGATGTTAGCTATAGCAGCAGTATAGTGGAGTATCTCAGTCTGGAGCTGCCATGCTGCTCTGGGACAGTCTCCTCCGCTCTGCATGTTAGCTTTGCAGCAGCAACTGTTGATACAGTTTGCTAACTCACAACTTTGCTAACGTTAGCTACAGTACTTGCCGTGTCGCAGTTCGCGCTTGATCATGTTTTGTAAGCAAGTTACCGGATTTCTATGAATTCGCATACCTATCTATTCAAAGGAGGAGAGTCCCCGCTAGCTTCTCCAGATAGTCACGGCCCTTCATAGCTGGCTCGTTGACCAATGGAGTAATTACATTATTTACCATCCAAGTTAACTTAGTTAGCCAAAGCCCAGTTCTTGTTAATGCGTACAACAAATGCATACGTTTATAAAGGACGAGAAAGTGATTAAAATAACCACACGCAACAGTAACATTACTTCCATTTCAGTCAGTTTTAAAATGCTAAAGGTTGCTCAAGGTACAACCAACGGTAACGTTAGTTTTTTTCTATCCGAGGCCAGAAACGTTAGTGTCGCTGCGAACAAAAGGCATAACGTTAACTTAACGTTAACTAACTTATGGTGATCATTACGCTTTCCAAGCACGTTTGTATTTTAAAGTAAATTTAAGTAAATCTGCGTCACATAACTTACAGCTAAGTGTATTATACCTTACAACGTTACATGTTTTCTCGGTGCGTTTACTATTTGTCACATTTAAACGAAAGAAGGTTTAAAATACATTAAAAATACAAATGTGTTCTTTAACATGACACCCAGCGTTAGTGTAACTTACCATGTTCAAGCGGTTCACCATATTTAACGCATTTCACAACACTTCCTCAAAACCGTTGTAAAGGTTCTCTATTATTTTTCTAGGGTGAACTTTCACCGCGTAACAACTGACTGAAGTCCCGTAGCAACAGACCTCTAACTTTCCGTATCAGTGAGGAAGGAGGAAGTCGAACGGACCATTTATATGACGTTCAGCGTGAGCTCTGATTGGTGGCTTTTTGGAAGGGGCCTGTATCATCGGACAAAGAGGGGCAAACACCAGTCTATGCATCAAGTGATAAATATGATCTTTGTCTGCACTTTTTACAACTCAAATAAAGTTTCACAAAATGTATTATTATTGAATGTATGAATTGTAACTCTGTGTGATGTCTCTAGGCTAACCATGATTTATTTGGGGGCGTTATGTCTAAGAAAATACCAATCTGTCCTCCCAATCTATAGTAGAAAATGTGTTAAAATACCTCCTCCTAATAAGAACCGCTTTCAACACACGCATTTTCAAATTTAGTAGACCACGACTTTATAGTAATATGAATTCACAAGCCAAAACCAAAAAATGTAGTAGCTATTTGTAAAGAGGTATGACTGACAAGCTAAAAAACAAAAACATGATTAGTGCAGGCAGCTCAGAGAGGCAGGGACAGTGAGATGCATGCTGCAGGCAGAAGCCAGACAGGTGCATCATGCTCTGGAGATGAATGAGTGCGAATTTGGAACATAAACTATAATACAATTTAGAAGAGAACATTAAAATGTACTACAGTTGTAATTAAAATCAAGATTTTTCATTCCCATTTCTCACTGTAAATGCACAGAATTTTATTCTGAAACAAAATACGAAAGAGGTTGAATGTTCTTAAAAGTCCATAGCACATTTTTGCTAAAAGCAACCTCCAGCTCACATGATTGAAGCCAGCCTGGGGCAACTACTGTGGCTGCAAAAGAAGTTCCATTAGAAATAATGGTAAAATAAACCTCCTTCTCACATGAATTATTCCCTCAGTAAACACTTTCCTAATGAGTTTATGGTCTCAGTCGCTAGTTTCAAGTCTTCTTCAACACAGCATGATGTTAATTTTATAAATTATGCTCCCATTTAGAGGAAAATAGACCATAAAGCAGGGGAGGCTTTAGGACACGACTACCTTGTGATTGACATGTTGCAACCTGTCAGTCAGGATTTAGCCAGTACCGTTGAAAAAGCTTATTAGGAGTTGACTGTTCATTTTTCAAGCTTTCTAACACAACTATCACTTCTGAATATGGTCACTTCCAGTGCCTTGTTGCAAAAAAATCAACACGGTGGCAGCCAAAATGTCAAATACAAGGCTTCAAAACAGCAGTCCACAAACAAATGGGTGACGTCACAGTGACTACGTCCACTTCTTTTACAGTCTATGGTTTAAGGTCAACAGTAAACAGTTGGCAACTGACACAGCCACTATCTCAGAAATTAGACTATTCCTTTAAATTTGAATTCAGATGGTCAGTGTAGACTAATGTTCTAAATGTTTACATTTTATACATATTATAGGGATTGTGGGAAATGTGCTTAAAAAATTAAGTGGAGTGTTTGAGAAAACCCTCTGGACTAGATGTCTTCAGGTGCTTTCACATACTTCCTAGTACTTTGTCAATAAAGCACTATTGTCCAATAGAGTTCAATGCATTATACATTTACTGTAGGTTCAAAACACAATACAATTAAAGGACATGTGGCAATGTGAATAAATACTTGTGGACAGAAAAAGAAATGGTTGTGGAAATGTCCAGGTTAAGGGTTAGGTGAATACAGCACAAAAGTCACATGCATGAAAAGGTCTCTGCATCCTGCAGGGAAGAAAACAAACACCCTGTCGGTGGATCCATGTGTGAATGAAGCCAGTCCTCGCTCCAGAATTAATTCCATCCATAAGTAACACAGTGACAGTCTATTTTGGTCACAAGTTATATAAATGTTCAGTAATAAAACATCTAAAACCAAAAATCTTATCAGATGGGTGATCCTGAGATTATATCTTATCAAATGATGGTCCATGGTGTAATTTGTGTGAGTTTAGGGGTCCTGGTTTGAGAACCACTGGTTTAGAGTTGTAAGCACACAGCAGCATCAGGGATGCACTTCACCAAAAACTCAGTTCTCCATCTTCTCAGGTAGGCCGGCGATTTTAACTTTAATTTTGAATCTGTGTCAGGTTGTTACCCGATACCGAGGCTATAGCAGCTAGCTCAGCTAGCTCCGGGAGCATTGACCATCAGTCTCATTTGGGGATTTATCGTGCTTCTTTCCCTTTTTGGCTTTCGGTTTTGTCAGGTTATCAGGGTGGGTACATGATGCTCTCTTTATATCTTATGTAACTTGTGTTGCAATACTTAGTTTGTGAGGCAGTTGTGTTGACACAAACACATACCATACCTGGTGATTCAATCATCCGCACCCAATCACTAATCACACAGACACACCACTCTGGGTTACCTCTATAAATTGTCAGGCTGCATAGGAAGAGACAGACTCCTCTGCTTACTGCTTCAGAGTAGACTCTGTGTTGGTGTGAGGAGTCTCCAGATATATATCTGCAATTGCTTTTGGTTTGGTAATAAAGGTCTCGAAACTTAAGGCACTGTCTCATCTGATCTCTTCTCATCAACAGACCTGGTGAAGTCGGCATACTTCAACAATAGTCAAAGTGAATCATGAAGAAAAAGCTGGAAATTAAATAAAATATTACATGAATGACTGAGTTATTTCAAGCGTGGAGAAGAGCTCTAGAAAGTATGTACAATAAGAACAGCTACCCAATTGCTAGTAAGTAGTAAATATGCAGGTGGATGTTAGAGTCACTGGGTTATTGCAGAGGGATTGTTCCTGACACTGTTCATCAGAGCGATGGCCTGTGGGTAGAAACTATTTGTGTTTCTGGTTGTTTTGGCATACATCTCTCTGTATCGCTTACCACATAGGAGAAGCTGGTTGTGTCCAGGGTGTGATGGATCTGCTGCGATGTTTCCTGCTCATTTCCTGACAGCCCTGGGGGGCGCCAGTGCTAATAGGCCGGGAAGGTGACTGTTTGATGTTGGAGAGAGGTGTCAATGTGTGCTTCTCAAATCTGCAGTAAAACAAATTAAGGACGTCAGCCAGTTGGAAATTTTCCATTGTGTGGGGATCGTCAGTGTGGAAAAGCTTGCAGGTCCTCTAGGTCCTGCAAGCTTTTCCACACTGACGCAGAGGCGATGAGGCAAGGAGAGGAATCGAGGAGGTCCAACTGAGAAATGAAAAGGGCTTTTGATGTTTTCACACACAAAAAACTGTATTTGAAGCTGATTTGAATATTTACTAGATTATGTAATGTAGTGGATGGTTAACTGTGAACGCTGTATAGCCAGTGTTAGTTAGTTAGTTAGTTAGGAACTTTATTGTCTACAAAATAGAAATTTCATCACATGACAGTTAATGAGGACAGACACTGAGAACATATACATTAGCATTTATAAGCAACAACTTATAAAGAAAAACAAAAGACTTCTCATGATGCTCCAAGAGTGAATATTTTGAACATTCTGAGACCAAATTTTAAAATTCATAACAAATGGATTGAACTTTACTGTTTTCTCTAGGTGCTGAAAATCCACAGTAATAAGTCATTTTGGTGCTTCCTGTGATAGGTCTCTCATGTGGTTCTGTCTCCTTATTACAGAATCTGACTACTTTGCTGACTTGTTGAATGACAGGTTTACTAGTTGACCTCCTTTGGAAATTAAATGGATTAACTGACAGATGATTTTAAAGGAGAATTCCACCAATTTTACACATAAATTTTAGCTAACTCATTGTGGTTAGCCCTCTGTCGTGTCTTGGAGATGACAAAGGTCTGACATACAATCTGTGTGGAGTTTTAAAGACATGGCAGAAGTATACAAAGATCAGCCATGTGCATAATGAGCCGTGCCTGTGTATAGCGGGGACAGGGAGGGGTATGGAAAGACAAAGTGCATCAAATGATAATAACCGCATTATTTAAATATGTGAAGGATTCCCTGTCTGCCATCTCCCACATGGCATGCTGCAGACAATGTTAGAATTCAAAGACTTAACCATTAAATGTGACACATCACAAAGACAGATTAGTATAATGTGTATTACATAGATTTGAACCATCCTTGGTACTGTTCGATGGAACCACACAAAATGTGAAGGTTTAAAGTGTTGTTGCTAATAATAAAAACAAGTAGCTTGAGAAAACACTAATTTCAAGCACATGTCAGAATACTGAATGAATTGTTTCAGGGGTATCACTCTCCTATTTCACACTATGAATTTACCTCAACATCCTCCATCCCCAAATAGGCTTTTTTCATGGAAATGAAGGCACTATCACTGGGGGCGATAAGGTCGGGCCTAATATGTCGAAAATCATGTTTTTAAAAACTCCAGATAACACATCTCTGTGGGGTAAGCGCCTTACATCCACTAGCCTTTTTCATAACTGTTATGGCAGAAAAATGTTACTTTGTTAAATTGTTAAAATTATTACTATTCTCATTATGGCTTATAGATATATATGTATTATGTTTTATTCTTAACCTTTCCTCTCCTAGACTCCTTATGTTAGTCCGTCCACATTTACTAGGGTTAAGGTCAGAGCTGTGAGATGGATTTTGGTGTTTTCCTCTCTTGTTGTTCCTCTCCTCTCCTGGAATGTTCATTCAAGGCCGAGAGAGGATCTCTGTTGCCCAAAACATAGAAACCTAGACTGTGTAAATGATGATGCATCCCTTTGCTCGGGGCCAGACGCCCGAAGCTGACCTAGGCGGAAGGTCTCTGGACCAGCTGTAAATGTATTGTAGTACTGTTTATTCTCAGTTTGTTGTAACTCAATTCTTTGCTCAACCCCTCATCAGGAATATCATTTCCACGACACTAACCTCCTAATATGCAATCACCTTGTCTTACAGCAGAGATCCCGCCATTATTTCCTACTCACTCTCCCCCACCTGCTATATGCATGGTCACACACATCCTCCTCAAAGCTACCCAGGAGTCTCACTCACACTCACACACACACACACACACACACACACACACACACACACATTAAAGCTAATGGTGATGATAAAAGTGTTTTTGTTTATGTAGACATTGTTTGCACTCTGACAAT